TAGGGAGAAAAAAATTTTCTCTTTATTTTTCTTAACAAGTCGTGTGCCCTAGAATATTTTCCTTTATGTCATTCTTCTCTCTTCTAAAAACTCTCTCTTATTATTGTATCTCTCCTCCTATTTATAGGGAGAGATTTTTCTTATCCTCTAAGAATAAAAAGGGGCGGTAACTAGTCCTAATTAGACTCTTGGTTGTTGTTTTCTAATCCTCTAAGAATTAGGTATGGGCTTTTGATCTTTATCTTTAAAACATTCATCATTATCCAATAAGGTTTATATTTATCCTCCTACTAAAATATCTTTCAGGCTTTTAATTAAACCCTATAGGCCTAAAATATTTTGGCCTAATTAATTAATTTTGGACTATCCAAATAAATTAAGTTAAATAATTTTAGGAGGCCCACACATTAGAAATTAATTTTTCAAATTACCCTTAAACCTAAATTAGGAAACTAATTTCCATTTTAGGTTATTTACTTCCAAATTTGGAACTAAACTTCCATTTTAGGAAATTTTTTTCCAAAATAGGAAACTTTCAAAATTAAAAAAAAAATTTAAACATCTTTACTTCTCTTTAATCATGTAAATGCTTAAACATATGCGTGTGACTCAATAGGCTCCTATATATATATTGGCAATTGATCAAGAATAAAAGACACTTTTTTATCTCTTGATACATAAATCAAGATTAACCTCTAGCAAAGCATCATAACTACCTAATTCTCTAGGATGATTAATTAATCTATAATTACCTTTTATGAGTATGGTTATCATATAATTTAGTCCTTATGTCAATTTATCACAAGTGTGATTTAAAACTTGATTATTAGTTTTATTCGATTATGATCACACAAGTTTTTTTCGATTCTTAAATGTCTTAGCTCTTAGAATAAACCAACTATTCTCTCGTTAGGGTACTCCTACTTTGGTCACAAATTTCTTGAGCGTACACTCATCAAAGTGCAATGTGATAACTCCTTTAGCATACAAGGAATGACATATCATGTCTTAGTCATCCACCTACCTCTAATAGATTCCTAGTGCACCCAACAAATTGCCCATTTGCAATCTTTTACCGAGTCTATTGAAATGAGTGTCAAAGTATACAAATCTTTTAATAAAATAATCGTGATGACTTTAATTCTAAAGACCAGTAGTACCCATCTCGTATGAGATTTTCATAGATTAAATCAAATGGGTTCTTATGGCGAGTTAAGTCCAAAGTGATATATTCTCTAACATGAATCACCTAAGTGTTTGTTTTGGCATCATCATGCTAATAGGTGTAAGATCTTCTACTATTATCATATAGTATGAGCATAGCACTCACAAGTCTAACCACATCTAGTCAATATCCATTCTTGACAATGCTACGACTTGAGACATTTAATGATATCATTTATATCCATTAGTGTTTATCTCACATGTTTCGATCAATCACTAATGCAAATGCATATCATATGGACTTTTATCTAATTCTATTCAATAAAAAAATAAAGACATAAGAATTAATAGAAAGATTTCTTTATTATTAATAAAATAAATGACGTAATAATACAATAACTCAAACCAATTCAAATATGGTTAAATCTTGTGCATTTAAACTAACACTACATCCATTTATGGTACTAATTAAGAGAGTCACTAGAGCGACTCAACTAATGCTACGGTTAAAGAGTTAGGGAAAGATAAAGATATGTGAGCCGATAAAGTCGATGAGTTATTGTCTATTAAAGAGCGTTTAAAGGCTATCGAAGGTATGAACCTATATGACCCGATCAAAGTTGCTAAGATATGTTTGGTACCGGATGTTGTCATCCTAAACAAGTTCGAGGTGCCGGAATTCATAAGTACACTAGTACCTAATGCCCAAATACTCTCCTTTGAATCTATTATAGTAAGATAGTAGAGGTTATGCATGATAAGAAGCTTCTAATTTACTTCTTTTATGAGAGTTTGGATGGTGTTGGTTCTTAGTTTGTACATAGATCTTGACAAAGATAAAATCCAAAATTGAAAAGATCTAATGGATGCCTTTAATCGTCAATACAAGTTTAACCTAGATGTGGGTGCTTGAAAGAACAACATTGCAAAACATGAAAAAGATAATGGATGAGTCTCGTTAAAGAATATGTTCGGAGGTGGTATGAAGTAGCTACTCAAATCCATCCTTCTCTACAAAGAAGGAGTTGATATCCATGTTCGTTAACAAACAAACTCTGTAATTGTTAAAAAATAATAATGATGTGCAATATTGATCGGCTACATACTCTTAGTTATGAATCTAATCCTCCATAAAAAGTATTTAAAAAAAAAAAGAATATTTGATCAATTCAAAACAAGATCGCACAATATTTTATTCTCTCGATATAGATAATTAGCTACTAGTTAGTATTGCTAATTTTATTTAATTTTGATGAATAGATTTGTACATTATTTTTTTTATTTTGATTGCATGTTAGATTTGTTTTGTATCTATTTCATTATCTTAAAATTATTGTTGTATTTTAAAAAAATACTCTTCATACATATGAAATATTTTATAGCATTCAAAACGAGGTTTTAAAAAAAAATAACATAGAAATTTAAAAAAAAAATAGTCTTTGTATTCTATGAATTGTTTTGATTAAATTATTCTATTCGAGTCTTATGTATAACATATATCATTCATTCAGCTATAACATGACATGTCATCTAACAAACCGAGGGACGACAATAAAATAAAATGACAAGTAGAGGGATTCAATGAACACAAAAGAAGTACACCATCTCAATGGAAATAATTTGAAAAGTACAAAGAACATATAAGGAGCAAAATTCATTTTAGTCCAAACCCTTAAAATCTTAGAAAATTATTTTATCTCCCTAAACTTAATTTTAGTGAAATTAGACTTTTGTTCCTAAGCTTCTAAAAATCTATATAAATAGCCCTCGTTGTGTTATTTCAAAATTTTTAGCCCTCTATGGTAAAATAAAAAATAAAAAATAAAAATACTTCTTATTTATTATAGTATCTCAAAAAAAAAAAAAGTTTATTGAAGAATTTTTTATTTGCTAAAAAAAATTCCCTTTTTTGTTATTTTTTATATAAAAAATCAATTTTTTACGTATAAAAGCGAAAAACAATTTGACCTTCATGCTCTATTCTTTTTTCAGTATATATATATCAAGTAAAATCTCAGGTACTAAAGTCTAAGTTCACTAATATCTCAGGGACCTAGAGATAATCAATCCAAAATCGTGTGAGCTTCCACTAAGGCCCAATTTGAAGAGAAGAAAATAGCAAGGGAATTCAAAAACCAACCAACAACATTTGCTTGGTGCTCTAAAGAGAAGAGCTACAACCTGGGCCCATTTCAATAAACCTCTTTCTTTCGGGACCCAACATGCGGTTGCGGAAATAAAAAGCAGCATGGCATCAGTCACCAACGAAGCCCTTCTTGAGAAATTGGGGTAGGGGGTAATTCATGAGCCAGAGAGTTTTTGGGTCTCAATGTTGCGTGAAAAGCATGTAGGACAGATGACCTTGTAATGTCCCTTCCATCAAAGCTAGAAGCCAGGACTCCGAAATGTGTAATGACAACGAAAAGACTCAAAAGCTTTCCCGCTATTGCCTTTGACGAGTCATGTGCTCTAGTAAGGATCTCATGGTTGCTAATTTCAAGTTTCGGACTAGAGTCTCTTTAGCCGTTCCCTTTTTTCCATTATTTTTCACTAAACAATAATCACTAAAGTTCTCTAATGGGCACTAGATCCCGATCCAATTTCATATGTAAAACTTCTGTGTTCAAGGGTTGCAATTAAACAGCTGCAAATTATGAGCCATTTTGGAGTGACTTAAGAGTGATGTTGTCCGTGTATAATTGTTAACTTTCACAAGCACCCAATCTTGAAGGAACACATATCTAACTTGAAAAGTAAAAAGGTGTTCATGCGATGATTTCCACAACTAATTATCAAGAATAACCATTTCCTTCTTTCATTTTATTCATTTGTAATTTGTATACAAGGCAAATCCAGATTATGAAGACAAAGTCTGAACCTGGAAAATAACATTCGTATGTACTGGAATGTGTGCAGGTTGGTACAAGAGAACCATTGAGCGCAGAGGACTTATGAGACAATGACGAGTAAGAGAAAGACTCTTTCGGTTTCTATATGACCGTTCTTGGTATATGAGGATTATCAAAATAAGGAAGAAGGGGGTGATCGGATAATAGATCCAAAAATGCACCCCTTAAATGCAACGGTTGCAATGAAGGAATGGGAAGGTGATCATCTAGCATAGCTAAAAAGCATCCCTCCCTTGTAGGACTTGTAATCATGATGCCTCTCATTTTTTTCAAGAAACTATCCACGTAGATCAAGGGTGCAAGAAATATTGTCCCACTGGGAAGTGGAAGGCTCTCCTTCAGGGATTGCAATCTTAATAAACGAGAGGATTCTAGCCAAGAATTATACGCTTAATAATACCAAATCAAATTAATTGTGAGTTGTGAGAAAGCACTGAGAAATCAGCAACCTATTAACAAAATACAACATGCATCAACAAGCATATCAAGAAACGAGCACCACAGCACAGCTAATGAGCAAGGAGATCGTAAAAGTTCAAGATGGGTAATTTTCATGTGATTATACTTTCAGAAAATGTACAAAAGCCGGAAAAGCGAGAGAAAGAATCTTCTTACAAGTTTTCCCCAAGATATCAGTATCCATTGAGTACATTCTTCAACAAATCCAACCTTAACAGATGACATGAGTGCAGCACTGCTCAAGCCAAATGCATCGGAGTCTCTCGATTCCAAGTGATACAATCGTTAGCAGATAAGAAAAACTTTCACTGATGAAATGCTTCCTAGGTCGCCCAAAATAATTACAATTTAGCATGCAAAGCTAAAGGAACTCAACTCATTAGTCACAATCAGCCAACAGAACAAAGCCTTGTTATAGAATGTTCAGAAGAGTAAGCAGAGCATTTGAGAGAGAGCAAAATCTCCAGCTCAATATATGGAGGCATCAAATCTTGGCTCATAGAAACAGACCTGGCTGTTGTATGACTGAAGAGCACATCCAGCAATCCAGGACCAGACCTTCTTATCCACATCATATAGAAGGCCTTTTCCTTGGTTCCAGGATGTAAAGCAAATCAAATTATCCTGTCCAAAGCACTCAAATCTTTCAGCTGATAACCTCAACAGAGCTCGAAAATGCTTTGGTGGCATCCTACTAATCTCCACCCACATAATCTTAGCATGATCCAGTTCCCAAATTCTCATACTCTGAAGAGTACTATAAAGGCCAATCCTTCCAACCAAAAACAGACGCTTCTGAGTGCCAGCTACCAGATACCCATCCAACAAGGACCTAGGAAATCTTGCTGGAATATGTTCCCAGTAACCTGTATCAAGCCTATACACCATCAAACCAAGCGGTGAAAGGGTTTCCAGGTACAATCTGGAGTCACAATATGCCATCTTTGAGGAGCAAAGGTTGACTGCAGGCATTATCTGGTGAAGTGACCATCTGTCGAGCTTTGAATCATACACTTCAGTAGGCAATGACCTATCCCCATAAATATCACCAGTGGCTATCACTTTGAATGAGTGGTCTATTCTATCCACAACCATTATCAACTGCCTTTGCTGATTGTAATTCATGCTTGGCAATGTTCTCCAAGTTTGCGTGAGCGGATTACAAACTAAAGTTTTGAAAGTTAGCCCATCAAGTCCAGAAAAACAAACAAGGCCCCCTGAAGAGCCAACCAACCAAAATGCCCACTGTGGCAAAAATGTGAAAGGAATTCTATACCAAGCTTTCAAGGGCAAGCTGAAAACTGAGCATTGTGGGGTCTGCGGATTCTTCCAAAATGTCAAAAGACAAGGCCCATGAGATGGCACTTGGGAGTGAAATTTAAGAAAACTACTATCTTGGAGAATTGAATTCCACCGTTTACAAACTGAACGAAGACGAAATATCATAAACGGAGGAACCCTTAATAAAATCTCATTCAACAGATCCTCAGGCAACATTGCCCATATGTTATCCTCCATTTGAACATCAGGGTGAACAACCTTACCAAATGTAGCTACCGTTTCCTCATCTAAACCACGCGGTTTGGTCTTAATCACCTTTTGCCTAGAAGGGCTAGTATTCCTCGATCCAACACGACCCATAGGACTCGTATTCCTTGATCCACCAATTCTAATAGGAGACACTTGCCTGGGACAACCATCATCATCGGGCAAAATCCCATTTTTCGACGATTGAGAACTAGACACAATAGACCCAGATTCAGATGATTTCCCAGCACTACCATCCATAGTATGGCTTCTCAAACTCACAATACCCTTATCGCTTCAAAGCAATCAAAACCCAAAACCCTAATCGAAACAATAGCAATTCTACTCCAAACTCCAAATGTCAGCTCTAATTCATTACACATGCAGAAAAAAGATCAAAACTTTGAAGTCCAAATGGTGACTTCAGGCATCAAGAAACAAAACCCGTTAATCCAAACAACAGATTCAATTCTATTTCAGATTAAAAAAAAAAAAAAACAAAAACAAATTTACAGTCAGATCCAAAACTTGAACAAGATAAAATGATTTCGAAGTAAAGATATAAAGCAAACATCAACGGGGGACATAAAAATGGAAGCTTTGTTGGTGGATTAGAAATGGGTTACCTTTAGAAGCAAGAATTTATGTAACTATGTTGCTTGGTGAGGAAAAACTTGTCAGAGCTGGGACAGGTAAAAATTATGGCATAGAAAGAAGAGAAAGAACCTAACCTCCCTCCCCTCGAAGACTCTATGGTGTTTGATTTATTTTGTCACTATTTGAGGGAAAAAAAAAGAAAATTAAAATTTTAAACTTATAATATACTATCTTTTTTTTTTTTTTCGAACCTCAAGATACCCTTCAACTATATAAATGGTCTTAATTTGGCCACTAAATAATTTTTTATATCAATTTTAACTTTAAACGTTCAGTAATTCTCAATTAAGGACTTTCATCCTAGTTGTACTCTTTTTGTTTTTGTAAGAAGCAACGTCACTTTATAGAGAACTGAACATTTTTCATTAAGTCATTCAACCGAAGTCTTTTTATTGAAAAATCAAAATAGTTTGAGGATAAAATTGATATAAAACATAATTTAGGAGCAAACTTGATGTCATTATAATAATGTAGAGATACATTTAAGGTTTACCCTTTTTTAATTTGGTACATGCGTACATATGGTATGTCGGTGCACCTTCGTTAATTGTATGGCACGTTAGCAGAAGGAAAGGTAGATAAAATTGATAAAAAGAGTAATAATTTAGAAATAAAAGTGGTAGCACTGCTATCCCCTTGTTGTTTGTTTTTAAAATAATTGAATTATTCAACAAAGACCACCCTTTGTTTTTTTTCTCCCCAATTTCTTCCATTTTGAAATAATCATCATCTTGCTTTGACTCGTATTCTGAGAGAGATCATGAAGTGACAAGCCTTTCGAATTAAAGAATCGGAGATACAAACATTAAAAAAATACCAAAATATTTTGGTGGTATGGGTCCACTAAATGCTGTTCATCTTCCTTTCGTGGCTCCACTAATTTTTCTACAGAGTTGTTGGTGGATTTTAAATAAAGGTGTACAAACAAACAGCTGTTATTTGGCAGATACAGTATCTGATTAGGTCTAGGAGGGTCTACAAAGATTGCCCCTTCAAGCCCAAGTCTTTAACTTGAAAAGTCTTTAACATGAAGTAGAACTTTTGTTTTGACCCACTCATCAATCAATGGCCAAAGACAAGGAGGGGCAAAATGAAAACCAGGCAACAAGTTGTTGTGGCTCAATCAGTACCACTACCCCCGAAATGTTTTTCAAAATACCTTGAAAAAAGTACGTTCTTTAAAAAGGAAAAAAAAACTTTCTTTATGCATTTGGATTTATAAAGATCACTGCTTTATTCAAATTCAATAGAATGACTATAATACACTCCAATCAATATTGTGTTATATTGTAAAACCTATTATGTATTCTTTTTACTTATGTATTCCAAAGCAAAGTTTCCCTCTCTAGCTCCATGGCATCAATTTTCACCAACAAAAAGCTCCTCTTGCAACATTCCGAAACCCAAAATATAGGCAATTCTAGGACAAACATTGACTCTTCCTTGTACATGTTCTAAAACCAGTGAATACATGGTAGTAGTCAATCAGCTTTCACACATGGTTACAAAAAATAATAATTCAAGATTAGGTTTTTCAAAAGGTCATTTACACTTGGACGAATACATGGGGCAAACTCACTTAGTTGCCGTGCTAAACCTTGGAAAGATGCCCTCAACTTTAATAGTGATTAGACTGATTTATAATCCAACGACGAAGTTGTAAATCAGGATCTAAATCTGATTTATTTATTTATTTGCTGAATCCTCTGTTTTCACTCTTTTGTATTCCAAAATTTTCACTCAAATCAATATTGTGTTATATTGTAAAAAATATATATATATATATATATTGACAATTAAAAGAATTAATACTAAAGATATGTCATATGTATTATCTCCTTTTAATTGCAAAAAACAATCGGGGAGAAAGTTTAATTCAATTTCAATAGAATGACTATGTCTACAAAACACTCCCAGGAATGTTGTGTTGTGATAAGCTATTTTTATCTGTATTATAAATAATCAAAGTTGTTGCCACTTTTCTTCTAGAGTTAACTAGTGAATTAGTACTTCTAAATTAGACAATATCTAAGAACATTGAAATCTTTTTTGTTTTCTTCCATGGGAAAATAAATAAATAAATAAATTGAAAGAGTCCATTCAGCATCGAATTCTCATCAAGCATAAAATGGGTTAATCGTAATAGTAAATGAAGTCCTTGTCGAGAGAGCTTTGTCCAAAATCAAGCATATAGCGGTTTATGTCTTTCCTTGACACAGATTTAACTTGGTTAGAACTATTTGTAACCAGATGGATCACGTAGCTTGGAGTTTGGACATTAGATTTTGAACACTAACCCAACCTCCAACTCCAAGGACGATTGCTTTAGGATTGTTGGTTTGCCTTTGCAATTGGATTGTAAAAGAGAAGAGAGCCTTCAAGAAAAAGGCTGTTTGCTAAAGAGTCTCTCGTGCCCAAGCCCCTCTCACCGGGCTTTACATCCTATTCTCAATAATATAAAAGGCCAATAAAAAAAATACCTGGATCTTGGCCTGGCACAATCGCCCTTGGATTATTGCACCAAAAAGCAGGAAAAACGGCATTATTTTTTTTTATTTTAAGCATAATAGTATCTTTGGATCAGGTGACCAATTTTTCCACACCGAATCCATATTTTTGACAATAATTAATCTATATTCTATAAAGAATGAGTGAATGCATGCTTGCAACGTATAATTGAGCTTGGGGAGAGAAGGGAGATGCTCAATATTAAAATAATTGCAATTTTCTTATGCATAATAGATGGATCACGAAAGCTAATGACACTGAATCAAAAGAAAGATATCAATTTCTAAGATAAGTGGAGCCCTTTTCGAAAAGAAATTCTTAAATCTTTCACTTAATGTCAATATCTTGATTGAAAATAAGAAACATTCAATTGCAATCATCATAAAAATGTTTCCATTTTCTCCTCCCACTTGTCCCCAACCCCATTGATTCTTCATCACATTTTTCCAAATCTCTTTTGTCTTTGTTGGTGTGGGCATGCGTGTTTGTTTCACGTTTGGTTTTGCACAATAATTTATAGCCAGTAGAATTTTAGCTCGTTGTGGAGATTGAATTTCAGATTACTATCTAATCTGATTACACTGTTAAAAACTTTGGATGGAAATGTAGTTAACTTTGTTTGTTTAAAAATTATTTATATGAGTTTTTTTTTATATATATAATAAATACATTTTCGAATCAATTTGTATGTTAATTGAGATTAAATTTTTTTTAATTAAATTAATAAAAATTTAATTATTTTTTCTGAGTATTAATTCTAAAATTTAGACCAAGTTAAGAAATATAACAATTTTTTTTAAGCATCCGATCAATCCCTTAAATTTATCAGTTTTCATCCTTTTCAAAAGTTATCTAGTTCAACTCCTCGTTTGCAACGAGTAAAAAATTATTTATGGGAAAATTTTAGTCAATTTTTAAAAACTAATGGCATATTTATGATTAGTTGACTAATTATTTATTCATTCCACAAAAAGGCACGCTCAAGTGACTGAATGGAACATGAAAAAGTGAAGAGAGAGAGAGAGAGAGATTGTCTGCATTGTACCAATTATGCGACAGATGACGAAAGTTGAATGATTAACCACTACTCAAAACAAACACAAGGTTTGAAAATTTCTAACATATAAAGCCAAAGTACTGACAAGTATGGGAAAGAAATTCTCATGTTTCATAAACACCAGTACAAGTATGGTACATATAAATATAATTTAGTTATTTATTTTTATACAATAATTAAAATCTTTTATATGTTTCTAAATTATTAATTATATTTTATTTATTTTTAAAAATATTTGAAATGTTAAATATATCACTCCAATCAATTTTTTTTACCATAATTTTTTTTATCGAAATGCATTTTTAATAAAATATAAATAAAAAATAAAAACATTTAAAATTATATTACTTATTTATTCTATTTTTAAAAAATTTTAAATAGTTTTTCTTGCATTTCAATCAGAAAAATTTCGATAGAAAAATTTTTATTTTATTGAAAAAATTACATCACTTATTTATTCCATTTAATCTATATTTTACCAATTACTAGGCGGGGAGACTTGCGATTTTTTAAAATCTTTAGATTAGAAGCTTAAACCTAGTATTAGTGCTTTCTAATGAATAAATAAAAACCTTTTTGCCAGTAGGTGTCTATGTACGGTAAAAATCATTAAGACAGCAGTCTTCCTCGCCATTTTCTATCACTCGTTATTGATTGCATGTCGTTTTGACTCCAATCCGTCACCAAAAAACTCTTCTTCTTCTATTTTTTTTTTTTCAATTAAATATGGTCAGAAATGTAATGTCGCATAAAAGCACCTCTCAATTTCCTCCAAGTTTGGGCCCAGACGTCCAGTACTTATGTACGTTTTAGTTTTCAGAGCTGAATAATTGCAGCGTTGATGATGGACAGGCATGAGACAGCATGGACCCTTAATTTGGGAGGTTCAGCTTCTCATTGATGCAACAACCAAGAAGGAGCTTATGTCCAAACATTTCTTTTTAAGTTCAAAACATCATGGCAATTGTCTCCGGTCGAATTTCAAATTTTAATCAATTATACATCAGTAAAAAAAAAAAAAAGAAAAAGGACATATTAGTGGTTAAATTAATGACCAATCTTTAATATTGTTTTATTCTAACGGTTTGATCAAAATTTTAAAGCCTTATGTATTAAGAAAAATGAATAGCGCAATCTATGCACAGATCCAGTCATCCAGCTCCAGGAGCTAATCTACTCTTCACTTTGGTCCTGCTTCATGTATTATTCATTTTTATTACATGGATGAGCAATGCAAAAGCTCATATAATATAAAAAAGTGATGGATTTAGTTTAATTGATTTAAAAATAAATATTTTTTTATGGACATCAACAGTAAAAATTACATGGATAAGCATTCAGAATATTATTTGTATATTCACTTTATTTGGGAGAGGAAATTTAAATTCCTAGATGACATATATAGGTCAAAACGTTATTCCATTGCTTGAAGTGACAACTCTTTAATATCCAATAAAAAAGAAACCAAAAAGGGGAGGGATTGCTCCTGCACCGGGGCGGAGCCACGCTATGCTTCAGGGGGCCATGGCATCTCCAAAAATTGATAAAACGTTGATATCAGTCCTAAACTTTAAAAATTATTTAAATATATCCTTAAATTTGAGGTGTATTTCCGAAAACATCTACCTTTTGCACCCAAAAAGATTAACCACATTCTATATTATTGGGTGTAATACGGAAGTGCAAATGAAAGCAAACAAGCAATCAAAGAGAAAGAAAAACATCATACGGAATAAATACATAAAATTTAATGTAGATTGTAGCTCGACAAAACTCTATCTACTCCACTATCTAACACTAACTTTTTTTTTTTTTTTTTACAATGAAAAAAAATCAATACTATATATATATATATATTAAATTTAATTTAATTTTCAAAACTTCCTGAATAGTCTCTCTCGTTATCTCTGCTAAAGCCAACAACACCATATAGAAGGCACCTTATGTCTCAGATTCGTCATCTATTTATAAAGATTATACATTTGCTGAATAAGAAAAAGTATCTTGCAAGCTACTTAAATTTAATAATCAAGTTCACATGATCGTTATTTCAATTTTTTTTTTTTTTTACTTCTATTCCAATTTTATTTGGTCTATACTCTTAAAATATTAGCTATAAATCCAACATATATCCGTTAATAGTTTAAAATGTTCTTTCATTTGACAGTACTCCATCCTAAACCCTTAATTCCACCTCTGCTCTTGCAATTTTATTTTCTGAACGATAATGATAATAAAGATAACCAAAACAAGCTCCTAAATCCGATCACCAAGATCATCTCATCAAAATAAGCTCCTAAATCCGACCACCAAGATCATCTCATCCTTTGACGGACCAACCATAATCCACGAAATTAAAGCTGGCAAAGTCCCACGAGAAAACGCCAAAACACCACCCCGTCTCCAAAAGCCCCACAAGGACACGTGTCTGTCGAAATTTAACATCACCGTCACTGTCACACTATCTCTCCTCTCCGTCACCCCCCGTTTAAAACTTTTCTTGCGTATTAAAAAAACATAATCACACGTGCTTCTCTTCCTTTTCGTCGCCGGAATTTCCTCCCTTTCCCTCCCGAAAAAACAAATCTTCTTTCCTTCCCTTTCCGTCCTTTCACTATCTCCCCACCCAAACACCCCCTTAACTTCACTTTTCAAATCAGATTTGATCCCTTCTACTGTTTCTAACTGAATCTAACAGTAGTAGAATTACTATTTTTTATGGGGGTGGTCACATCCACGATGGCGGCGAAGTTTGCGTTTTTTCCGCCGAGTCCGCCGTCGTATGAGCTGGAGGAGGAGTGTGGTGGGAAGAAGTTAAGGATAGTGACGGGGGCGGGCGTACATAATAGTAATAGAGAAAACGTTGACGTGTTGACATTGGAAACGAAGAGAGGGAATCATGTGGTCGCGGTGTATTTTAAGAATCCTGCAGCTTCATTAACAGTGCTTTATTCGCATGGAAATGCAGCTGATCTGGGACAGATGTATGATTTGTTTTGTGAGCTCAGTTTGCATCTCCGTGTTAACCTGATGGGGTCAGTTCAGTTACTCAAAGTTTCAGTTTCTTTTTCTTGTTTGAAAAAAAGTTTTTTTTTTAATAATTTATTGAAATAATTTTGAAATGTTAGTGTTAATGTTTTTGTTATGTATTTATGCAGGTATGATTACAGTGGGTATGGACAGTCAACTGGAAAGGTATGGGAATAATTTTTTCTCCTCATTTCTGCTGGTATTGATTTGTTTGGTTGCTGAGAAAATATCGGGAGAGGAGAAGATTTGTTCATGTTTTTGGTAGGATTGGTTTGGTAGTTGAGAAACAGAGAGGGAGTTGGGAGTTTTGGTGTGAGAAGTTGAACAAGTCATAGACCATAGACAGTAAACCAAATGAGTTTATTAGCGTGTGTTATAGTTTCCTTTTCATTGAGTACCAATTAATGGACGACGAAAATGAGATCGAATTTAGTTGTAGATTTTTGTTACTGTTTCTTGAAACTAAACAGGCCTCGGATTTATTGGAAATTTTTTTTAGTTTGTTGAAGATAGTTTAACTGTTTGTTGTGTCACTGTTCTCTTTGAACAGCCAACTGAGCAGAATACATATGTTGACATCGAAGCTGCATATAGGTGTCTTGAAGACAATTATGGGGTGAAAGAAGAAGATGTTATCTTATACGGGCAATCAGTTGGAAGTGGACCCACTTTAGATTTGGCAACACGGTTACCAAAATTGAGGGCTGTGGTCCTTCACAGCCCAATTGCATCTGGCCTTCGTGTAATGTATCCAGTAAAGAGAACGTATTGGTTCGACATTTATAAGGTCTTTTTCATGTTTGAATGCTCATCTTCTGAGCTTTGGTGTCTTAAATATTTTTCACTTGTAAGCTAACTGCATTTTAATGGTTATTTGCTTTTTATGGTGCAGAACATCGATAAAATACCTTTCGTCAATTGCCCAGTACTGGTGATTCATGTGAGTATTTCTTTGCTTTGAAAATGATGGTTAAAATTTTTCATATGTTTCTGAAATTATAGCTTGCTAGTATAATGGTTCTTCCTGCCATCTTCTTTCCCCACATGGCCACACTGGCTGGGAAAAAGCAATCTATGCATATAATCATGAAGCATAAAGATCTACTGCAGTCATTGGATAAGAAGTGAACCATTGCAATGTCTTATGATAATAGACAGTATCAGATGCATGGTTTGCTGACAGAAAGTAGAAAGCATATGAAGTGAATAGCCTAGAGATGTATCATCAAGTGAAATTCCTTGCATGAAATCTCTTATCTGCTTATTCTTTATTACACTTCGGAAAATTGTGTTGCCAAAATGCCCCCATGATGCAATTACGAGTTTTAACTAGGATCAGATTAGTGGGCTGTTGTTCTGATTGCTGCATTTTGTGCAACATGTGTGTTGTGCTTTCTGTATATTTTATATTTTCTTTGAAATGATTGGGGATTTAACTTTCCTGAAATTAACTATAAATATAGCTGGGGTTAAGTTTGAGTAAAAGGATCCATGGAACTGAATATGGTTTAGAAATAAGGCCAGGTAGAATTCATTTCAATGTAGCAAGAATCGCCGTCCATTAAAATATTTGATTTTTCTTGGCAAAAGGTCAAGAACTTATGAGAGAATGAAAGAAGCTGCAAGAGATAATTGAGGAGAAGACTCTTGCCATAATCTGTTTGTAAATCTTGGTCTAATTTTCTCCTCAAACCTTATTGAATTTTAAATGCTAATCACAGGTTATCTAAATATGTGTAATTCTTGAAATTACATTTTTCAGAATGGAAAAAATCATGTTTGTATCAGATAGTGCATTCTGTTTGCCATTCTCTGGAGAATGCTGTGACACTAGAGGCAAATAAATTTGGTTATAAAGAGGACCATAGATACTGAAATGAAGGCCGGAAAACAAAGTTGAAAGAAATGCAGAGAGAAAAGAACCATAGAATGTCTGGTGATGGATGAAGGTGAGAAAGTCTTCTGGAAGGTCCAAAAACTTGGTAGATCAATTGAATGAAACCAGGAGATGCTGCTTTTTGCATAGTGGATAGAATACATGTGTGGATAAGAAAACGAACAATTACTAGACCACACTATATGCTCTCTCGTTTTAACTGAGCAGACCACATATGCTTCGAATGCATATGTTGTAATATACGAGCAAGGCTGTACTTAACATCAGCACGAACTGTGCAATAATATTTTGGTGTAGAGCTTAATTGGTTACATGTCTTATGAGATAAATGCATACTTCAGTTTTATAGCTGACTGATATCGTCCACTATGCTGTGCAGAGCTTGTCTCTTTCTTTGAAAACTGAGACTGAAGGTTATACTGTATAAAATGTCTTGTTTACTAGCATGAAAAATTGGTAAAGTTTTTTCAAGGTTACACTCTTTTGATCCTCAGCATTTCCTTTGTGATTTCTGTCACTTGCAGGGAACTGCTGATGATGTTGTGGATTGGTCCCATGGGAAGCAGCTTTGGGAGCGTTGTAAAGAGAAGTATGAACCATTATGGGTGAAGGGAGGGAATCATTGTGACTTGGAGCTTTACCCACAATATATCAAGCATCTCAAGAAGTTCATATCAGCCATTGAGAAATCATCACGTCTGAGAAATGTATCTGGGCCCATTGTGGATCAAACAGAGTATCCTCGAAAGAGCACAGATTTTCGAGAGGCTGCTAGATCAAGCATAGATCAGAGAGAGAAGCCTATACCAAGTGCTGATAAAAAGAGAAGCCTAGGTTAAGCATAGACTGCAGAGAGAAATCAAGATCCAGCACTGATAAGGGAGAGAAATCAAGAAAAAGTGTGGATCGCCCTGATAGAGAGAGCAATGGTTTAGACCAGCATGAGAAAGCTAGGAACAGCATTGATCGGTAAGCTGTCTTAGTGTTTCTTTTCCTCGTTCAATTCATGATGTTCTTTGTTCTCTTTCTTTTGTGCCCAACATGGTGGCACACATGTGCAATTCTGGTTTTCTTCATCGTTGATTGAATTCTGGTGGCAGCTTTGGCGACATGATAAGATCCGTTGGATTGTGCAATATCGATTGCTTCAAGCCCACGGCGACAGCCATCTGAAGAAGAAGAAATGTCAATACGCATTTTGAGGATTATTTAATTGGTTAGTGGGGTTGTTTAGGTGATAGTCAAATTTTCCACACAAAAAATAGGAAATTAATTTAAGCTGAATTTTTTTTTTTTCTACTAAAATTAATCTCTTCACAGGCATCTCTCTGCTCTCTCTCTCTCCCCACCTCCAAGCCCCGTAGGACGCATTTCAATTTATTTTTTAAGCAGAAACTGCCCTAATCATGCTACAATTAATATTGCATAGCTTTTCTTTTTAGTATTTTTTTTCACTACAATATTTTCTTATGATCCTATGGAGAGAACTTTGAATCTGCCCCACGAAATGCTCCCTTCTGTCTTCACTGACGAGGGAATTCGAACTCTAACCAAACATACTTAGAGAAGGCAACCATCATCGGTAGCGAGAAGGATTCACAACATCATCAGTAACCCTGTAATTTTCTCTGTACAGGATGAGGATTCACAGTTGTTAATTGGCAGAGAAGTTATTCTTTCAAGATTGACGTGATAATAATGCCTTAAATTTACAGAAGGATAGAAAGTAAACTGAGTTCTGAAATTAAAATAAATGGGTTTATTATTTTCTGCAAAACCCACTAATTATATCCTGTGTTTTGATAAATTTGTTAAATGAACCTCTATATTTTCAATTAATTTAATTTAATACGTGTGTTTTCAATTATTGTCAATTGAGTATGATTTTTATATGCAATTCAAATTAAAAAAAATATAATATTTTCATGTATCTTGGGATTTATATACACTATTAATAAAAAAAAATAAAAGAGAAATAAAAATCATTAGTGGCCAATTAGGAGTGGCCATTCTAGTCATTACCAGCCAATCAGGACACGCCACGTTTGTCATCTTCCTTTTCTCTCCAATTCCGACAGCAAACCTTGTTTGAGGCGAGAAATTGGTTTTTGCAAGTCATTTTTTCAGTTAGCAACGAGCAAATCGAAGCTAAAAGTTAGTAACTATAGATCATCAGAGTAGGTTGGTGACGAATTACCAGGATCGGGGAAAGATGAATCGGCAGAGAAGAGTGAGTCGAAAATGAAGATTTCAACCCGGACAATGTCATGAGGAGCTGTTTGGAGTTGTCCAGTGTCATTGGGGGTGTTGTTTGGTGTTGTTAGAGACTCGTCGGAGTTGAGGTTTTGCGGAAAATTGTTGAAACCACGGGTGTTACCTAAAAAAATAGCTTGCCGGGAAACTAGTTTCGCACTGGAAACTGGGTATGTTGTCGAAGCTGGAGAGCAAGAACACGACGACGTGGTGTGTCATAGTTGGCTGGTGATAGCTAGAGGTGTTCGTTCGATAATTCGATTTGGTTTTGAACTTTTTTTATTAGTTTTCGATTAATCGAATTATCTTAAAAAATAATCGAAACCGAACCGAATTATTATTCGGTTTTGAAATATATCAGTTTTTTTATTCGATAATTCGATTTTCACATGTAATTATTAATTACATTCAAGTGAGGAAGAATGTACTAATTACTAATTATATCGAAAAAAATTGAAACAAATTTTTTTATTATTATTAGTTATCTCTATATATATATATATATATTTTTTTTTTCTTTTTTTTTGGGTTGGAATCAGTCAAATCCAATTTTTTTAAAAAATTTCAGACTAGATTGGATTAAAATCAGTTCATCCAACCTACAAATGGGTTGGCCTAAACCCAACCCACATTACCTTAATGACTTAAACCCAAAAACAAACCACTGCCCATTTTTCAAAAGAAATTTGGATCAAAACCCCTTCTTTTAAATTTTCCTTTCTCTCTCCCATTTCTTTCTTTCCTTTCTTTCCTTTTTTTTTAGCTGCCTCCGTCCAAGCTGGTTCGTCCCTCCATTTCCTTGTATTCTCTTTCTTCCTCCTTTTCTCTTCCCTCTCCTTTCTCTATCGTTATCCTCCTTCTTCTCTCTTTCCCCTCTCGCGATTTCTTTCTTCAGAAACGAACGAGAGAATCTTCAATTCTGGTTCACTCTTCCTTTAGTCCTCCCTCACTCTGCCTCAATTAGTTCAATTCCCCTTGAAATTAAATAATCTCAAGTCCTTCAGAACCCAATTCCCCAAAAATCCTAAAACTTTCAATGTCTTAGAGATATCGAAAACCCTAGGTTTCGTTCTAGTTCTATCCAGCCTCAAATCAAAGTATAAACTCCAAATAGAACCTTCACACACCTATAATCAAACTTCCCTTTAAACCTAAACCATCAATTTATACCTTTAAACCGAAACCCTACATTCAAGTGAGGAAGACGAAGGATGCAAAGAGGAAGTGTCGAAGTGAGGAACTGACTACTAAGGAACACGATTTTGATTTATGAATTGTGATTTCAGAATCAGAGACAAGAAGAAATTAAGGAATTAAAGGAAAGGAGTGAAACGACGTCATTTCACTCATGCATTTTTTTTAAAAAAGAATAATTCGGTTAACCGGGTTTAAAAAAATAAAAACCCAAAAACAAAACCGAAAATCGATTATATATTGGTTCGGTTTTTTTTTTAATTTAAAAAAAAATCGCACCGAAATTGATATTTCGGTATGGTTCGGTTCGGTTTTTTGATTTTCATCAAATATTGAACACCCCTAGTGATAGCTGATGTGGCCACTCCTGTTGGGCTATTATTTATTTTTATTTTTCTCTTTTGTTTTTTATTTTTTTTAATGTTAATTAATACTGTATATAGGCTTATTTGATTATTTGCGAAAAATTATGCTCAATCAATAGAAATTGAAAACACGGTTATTGAATTGACCTAATTGAAAACATAAAGCCTTATTTGATGATTTATGAAAACATAGAATGTAATTAGGCGTTGTTTGATAATCGGGAATAGAGTGGTGGGAATGAGAATGAAAGTTTTATTCCCATATTATAACTGTTTGGTTAAAAGGAATGAAGTAAGAATGAGAATGAAGAGTAAAAACGAGGAATGAAAATTTACACACAACTTCATTCTCACATAAGATATGGGAATAAAAACAAAGAATGAGAATGAATTTTTTTCTAAACAGAGAAATAAAATAAAATCCTAGTATTAGGACTGATTGCTAAATTAAAGTTCTTGCGTGCTATATAAGTTTGACTAGTCCTAATTTACTATACTTATATGGAAATTTAAGATCACAATAATAAATACGAAAATCACAAAATAATACTGACTGCATGCATTACCCAACACTGCCTCTTACCAGCTCCCACACACATTGTTTGCGACAAGTCTTGCCTCTTTACAACCCAACGACTAAAATGCTCTTGTTGTACATGCCTGCACATCCACATTTCAGTTCATCAGGCTTATAACGATATAGCTTAGGCAAGGGAATTACTCCTCTCGTCGAAATTTTGATCAATCTTTGCATTTTCTTCTCCATCAAAACAGCATTGCAAATTGCTTCGGTGTCATCATATTGGAATAATAGATAGACACAGTATATCTATCAATTATTCCAGTACATCAGCTCATCACATTCTTATTTCCTTCAACGTAAAATACTAGGGTTGAACTTGAATTTAATTACATCATATAAATTTCCATGCACTAGGATCCTCCTCCTTTTCCCGCAGCCCAATCAGGTGGTGATGAAAATGAGTTGCAGTCACTTGGGACCACAATGAAGTCTGCAATTTATGCAGAGCATTTCAGGATCGCACAATCAATTGGCTTTGATTTTAACATAAAATTATGGAATTTTAATTAATGATCTAGGAAAACTATGTACGTTTAGAAAGGTGTTGAACAGTTTTTAAGTAATTGCTGCTTAACAGAATTGAAATACTCAATAGAATGTGTATCATTTGAAAAATAGATGGAAATATCAAATCTCAGGTAAGAGAAGCCTTTCAAAGTTCAAGCACAAGTGATGAGCCTATGGAAAACGTTAAAACCTAAAAGCACAAGAATCATCATTCTAGCAGAGATGTTATTCACTGATACATAAATTGACCAGCTCCAAATCAATCACAATAACAGCAAGGCCAATCAATACGATGTATGCAAGAAAAGCTTAACATGTTCAACGAAACTTTTATTCCAAAACAAAACCATAAGAAAAGCTTAACATGTTCAACGAAACTTTTATTCCAAAACAAAACCATAAAGCGCGGCAAGGCAGCAACACACTGCATGAAAGTACCAAGTTTGCATTGGACTCTAAATTTCAAGATAAATAGAAACACTCCATAAACCCAATAGGTTCAACGGAACTCCAAAACAAGCACACTAAACCAAAGGGGACTCATTTACTCATGATAAGACCACCGTGAGACTTCAGACTCGAGATTTGAAAAACAAAACAAGAGAAAAGGCATATCATTCTTCCCCAGACTCAGACTCGGCACTCTGGAGCCAATCGACAAAGGGCTTAACATTCTTCCAAATCTGAGAACCCTTGGTAGGTCCCTCTAGCCCTTCTTGATACCACTGCACGATGTACTCTTCCTCCAGGACATCAACATCATAGAGTGCTTTCAGGACAAGAGCGACTTCCTTCAGTGCACTTGAGCTTGACCTCCCACAGAAAGACCCGATTGCTCGGAGAAGAAGCAACTGCGATCCCTCGTCCTGAGCAACAGCTGCAGCCAGATAATTTTTCTTCTTGACAACCTCCTTGGCAAATCCTTTCTCAACACCATCAAACAACACCTCAAACAGACCATCCATCTTTTCCTGAGCAGATCCAGTAAGGGAAGCAAGAATAGACTGCATTTGGCTTGCAGAAACTCCTTTCTTTAGGTTTACCTTCACGTCATTGACAAGAGTTTCATGAGTACTTGAATTACCATTCTCAGGTTTTGGTTTCTCCTTCCGAGGTGGTGAAGCACCTTTCGGACTGCCATTTTCATTGCTGGCAGCCTTAGCCTTCTTCTCTGTGTCTTCTGTAGAGAGCATGACCATATCAGCTGTCACAGCACTCAACTGCTCTTGGATGCGTTGGCGAGCTGCCTCAAGAGATGTGTCTGTCTGCCACTGGACATCACCATCTTCATCATCAACCTCTTCCTTCTCATCAACCTGGCTATGAGTTGGTGACATGCGTTCCTCATCAGAGCTATTCACTTTCTTCTTTGTAGAGCTAGTTTTGGCATGGCCATCCTTTGTAGAAGAACCCTTCTTCTTACCTTCTTTCTTCAGTTTCTTCAGCTCCTCATCAGCAGCTTCACCTTCCTTCAGTCGCTCCTTTTCAGCCCTCCTCATTGCCTTTTTGTCCTTCGATCCCTTCTTTGCTTCAGGAGGATTCTTCACAATGAAAGTAGTAAGCTTGTCCCTCATATCGACATCAGACACAAAACCACAAGCAGCACATTTCAGCTGGATCATCTGGCTTTTGGTGATGATTATCTCAGTCTCAGGGTTTCTACAGCCATAACACTGGACATATTTCTTGATAAAGTTCTCGAGCAGCCCAGCAAGTTTGGCAGTTTCATGAGAACCATTCACAAGGGAAATTCCTGTTTTCTCATCAAATTTGGACTGTGCACCAAGCTCACAACCAAAGTACTTTGTAGTGTAAGAAGCTGGCCTTGCTAAAGCCTTGGCAATATCAACCATGTTGACAATGTTTGTCTTGATGCCATTTCCTCGTCCCTCAATTTTGGTAACCATCTTGGGCATCTTATACCTGTAGAAGGCATCATCGCTGTTTGCAGCACCAATATTCTGCAATGCCATCTTGATCGCAGTAAAGAAATCACAAAGCAAATTCAGAAATCTCACTGAATGCAAATGCTGGAATTCAAAAATCGGCTAGCAGCTATGTCGTCTTCTAGAGATTCTTGAGCAAGAAAAGACTGTTCTTTAGTCAGGGAGGTTGAATCCAGCTACAACCTTGAAACTCTGGGTATTCGTCAAATAGTCTGAAATGCATATAGCTGATTTTATCAAAGAAGGGTCTGCCCTTTTTCCTTGACGAAGGACTGTACTCTCCAAGTAATCCAATAGCTCCCAAAAACGAAATGGCCTGCACGGACATAAAAAAAACCTCAACTTTGACAGACTTCACTCTGAATATCTGTAGACAGCAGCACAACACCTGCTAGCCTCCTGAAAAGAACAGGAAAAAAAATTTAGCATAAAATTTCAACAACATGAGGAACAGCAAACTAGACGTTACAACATCACAACAACAACAACAACAATAATGAAATATGCAACCAAAACCCACATTAAGTATAAAATACTTGCATAAGACTTTGCTACACTAATAAAGTAGGCATCAGTCAAAGCAGGGAGAGAGAGAATCAGTTATCATCAAAGAACATAATAAAGACATGGAGGAAACCCTGATCCTAGTTCAATCAAATAGACCATTAGCAGGATATAAAACAAACAGACCACAAAAAGATCATGAACTTCAGTTGTCAGAAACAAAACAATATCTAATCAGAAGCGATAGATTTAAGTTCAGGGTTTCCAGAAAAACCTCTAATCGATTGACAGAAAACAAAACATGCTTTATCAATAGTCTTTGCATCCTATTTTTACTAGCTCTACAGCTTAATCCTACTCGTTGTAGAAAAAGGAATTATTAAATCCTACTCCTTATGGGAAAAGTATTCGTTAAATCAAACTCCTTCAACGCAAAAGGACTTCCTAAAGACACAAGGAACCCTAATTAAACCCGAAAACAATAATTAAACAGCTCACGAATCAAGACTGAACCATTGTCAGTAAACTAAACTAACAGAGATTGATAAAAAAAAAAAATTAAATGGGAGCTAAAGGATATTAACTCATCAAATCATAACAGTGACCAATCACGCCAATCGTAAGATACCGTATTGAATCGCAATCATCATCTAACAATGACAAATCACAGTGACCTAAATACTTAATCAAATTATTCAACAATTTTTTTAATTAATATGCATAATAATCTAAAAGCAACAATACAAGTCGGCTACGATTCTACTAGATCTAAAATCAAAAAAATAAATTTCTGGAACGGAAAAACAAAATCAAATTAAAATACAGAAAACAAAAATCGACAGAAAATAAATAGATTCATTGATTGATCGAAGAAACCCTAGCAGCGTACCTTTGGGCGGCGGAGCTAATGAAATCGAAAGTTTGGTTGTAGAGAGAGAAAGCGCAGTTAGATTGTATAGAGAAAAAAGAGAGGTGCGTCTGTTTGCTAAGGGTTTTTGTGGGTTGTGTTGAATGAGAGGCGGACTCGAGATGGCTTATAAATATATAGGGTTGGAATTGGGAGGGGAAGTATTCCGTGTTTTTCTATGTATCTTATACGCGTTAGTTTGTTCATCACGTTTTTTGTCTTTTTTCTAGACCCTTCGATTTGTCGACTGATTGAGTCCATTTTTCTTTTCCTGATTTGATACAACATCATCTTAATTATTATTATTATTATTGATGATGATGATATGATACGTGTAGAAATAGGGCCAGGTTTGGATTTTTTTAAAAAAAATTATTTCCATTTGAGTGGGTGAAATTTTAATAATTTTGGGATGTGTTGGTGTAAATTTCAATTTGCCATTTAAGGTTTACATGGTTTTGCAATTTCACTTAAAATTTTTGGTTTTTTTCAATTAGATCTTATATCTTTTATTTTTATTTCACAATGAGTAAATTTTAATTTCATCTTCAAATTTTATGAAATATCTCAATAGAACTCAAAAAGTAAGAATGAACAAATTAAAATTAAAAAAAATCATTAAAGAACGACATACCTTCAATAAAATAAATATGATTTGATTGAATAAAATAAATATGATTTGTTTTCAATCAATAGTATATCTAGGAGTCCTTTAACAATACAAAAATTAAATTAGATTAAAAACCTAATATGATAGAAAAATTTAATAAAAAATATCAGCCACTATTTTTGTTACCTCTTTGTACACTCTCTCGTTACCATTTCATATCTACACTTTTTATCTAATTTTCTATGAAAATCCTGAGCAATAATTTTTTTTAAAAAAAAATTCACTTGAATATAATGGTAGCTTAGGTATAGGAGAATTTTAATGTCACTTAGAATATTTGCATATATGGGTTTTATTGGATAACAACATCAAGGAAATAAAGAGAACACGATAGGTGGGGGATACCAGAGTGATGAAAGTTTTGACAACAAATAATAATAATAATAATAATAATAATAAAATACACAAAGAGAAAGTTAAATCAATTTGAATCTTAATATTATTTAACTATAGTATTGACAAATAAAAGATTATGTCGTTAAGTGAGAATTGAAATTGACAGAATTTAAAGATTTAAAAAAAAACCAACCCTCTTAAGTTTTATCATATTTATTTTAATAAAAATATATATTTTATATTGATTTTATGTTTTAATTTTTGTTAATTCCAATTATTTTATTGCTTTTAATTTTTAGATGATATTAAGATATTTTATAAACTTAAAAAATGAAATTAAAATTTACACACCTAAAAAAAATAGATGAAGGGAGAAATTGAAACAAAAGTGAAAGATGTGGGGCTTGATTGAAAATTTGAAAACAAATGAGGGTTGAATGGAACAAAAATAAAAGATATATGGTTTAATTGAAACAAATCAAAGATTTTAGGTAAAATTGAAATAGAAAGTAAAATTTACCTTAATAATGAAGATTGCAATTTTTAAGAGAAAAAAAACAAAGGAAATTGCAATTTTCCTAATAATTGTCATGGGAATTGTTTGTACAATGGTCTGCTATATAAAATCATATATAGGTAATCATGAAGGACGAATTACCAGATAACACAGTATCAAATCTATCTTTGCATTTATAATATTCTAGAAAAACTAAAAGAAATGGCGCATTTATTGTGCACAACCATATAGCTTAGGGCACGTTGTCATTGTAGCTCCATTATTATTAAAAACACTAAAGTAAACCTATATTTTATTATTCATGTTATTATGTCAAATATTATTCACATATTTATAAATCATTATTTACACACTCATAAATTACTATTTCTTTCACTATTCATGTCGCTTTTGTAACACTTTGATCTTCAATTTTTTTATACTTTTTGGTCCTCAAATTTTTTATATATTTTTTTCAATTTAAAACTTTAATTGTATTGTGAGTTGGTCTCATTTTATTTTAGTTTTTTAATTATTTTTATTATTTAAAATTTGCTACTTTAATTTATCTTTTTTTAATTCTCTTTTCTTTTTCAATTTTAAACTTTAATTATATGTAATTTGATCCTATTTTGTTTTAGTGTTTTTTGTTAATTATTTTTATTATTTAGAATTTACTATTTTAATTTATTATTTTTTAAATTCTCATCTAATTAATTTAAAATTATATTTACTTGACAGTTTTGATTTATTTTTCTATATGTATGCATTTTGAAATAAATTTTCAGAACATTATTATTTTTTCTTTTGAAAAATAGATTTATATAATTTTTAAATTATAGTGGCATGATTAATATATATAATTTTTTAAAAAATACATTTTTAGATTAAAAATGTATTTCAAATAATTTTTTCTTGATTTTTTTGATATTATTTAAAATTTACTACGTTAATTTGTCATTTTTTTAAATTTCAAAATTTAATTATATTGTGATTTGATCCATTTTGTTTTGTTTTTTTAATTATTTTTATTATTTAAAATTTACTATTTTAATTTGTCATTTTTTTTAAATTCTCATTCAATTAATTTAAAATTATATATACTTGACAGTTTTGATTTATTTTTTTATATGTACGAATTTTGGAATAAATTCTTAGAACATGATTTTTTTTTCTTTTGAAATATAGATTTAGATAACTTTTAAATTACAGTGGCATGATTAATATATATAATTTTGTCGAAATACATTTTCGGATTAAAAGTGTATTTCAAATAATTTGTTCTTGATTTTCTTTTATATTATTTAAATTTTACTACATTAATTTGTAATTTTTTTTAAAATTCTTTTTCTTTTTTAACTTCAAACTTTGATTATATTGTGATTTGGTCCCATTTTGTTTTAGTATTTTTTGTTAATTATTTTTATTATTTAAAATTTACTACTTTAATTTGTCATTTTTTTAAATTCTCATCCAATCAATTTAAAATTATATTTACTGATAGTTTTGATTTATTTTTCTATATGTATAGATTTTGGAATAAATTTTTAGAACATGATTATTTTTTCTTTGAAAAATAGATTTAGGTAACTTTTAAATTATAATGGCATTATTAATATATATAATTTATCTAAAATATATTTTTAGATTAAAAGTGTATTTTAAATCATTTTTTCTTTGTTTTTTTTTAGAAAAAAACTCAAATTAATTAATTAATAGTTGAAAGTAAAATGTGAAAAATAAAAAGAAGATGATTGCTCTGCGCATGAAACTTGTATTCAAGGACTAGCCATGCATAGCATAGAAATAAAAATATATATATATATTTAAGAAGGAGGGAAAAAAATGAATTCACATGTTTTATTAATTTGTTTCTAATTTATAATAATTTTTATTTTAGTCTATTGACTTCATATTTAGTCAATATATTCCTTACAAATTAAATTTTTTTATAATATTTTTTTTGTTTTACACTAAAAACTCTAAACTCACTTAGTATAGTTATGATATATAAAAAAATATCGTTGTTTTTTTAGAATTTAACTGTGTAACTACTACTACACTAAGCATTTACTATTTATTTATTTATTTTTGAATATTTTAAAATTAAATTA